AGATGACAGCAACTTCTGCTGTCCTATTATTACATTAACTTTGTTGACATCACAATGATAGTCACTTTGTTGTTCATTGTGTCATTTATTTCACGAGCTATAGTGGTAGCTCTTAATATATATACCACACAACTACTATCTGATGTGACTATCATTTTGATGGCAGAAATTTTAAGGATTTTGCCTGCTGTTCACCGTTAACTATGAAAAAAATATTTGTTTCCAGATTACAATGAACCACCATCCATCTATAAACATTTTAAAATGACAGAAAAAATAGCAGTGTGTCTACATCATGACAAAACTGGTAAATATAATTGTAAAAATCATAAAAATCTTCATAAATTCTTCTAAAAATACAGTAATAATTTTTTAAAGAAATTAGGCAAAATTATTTTAACTTTTATAATGATTCAATTGTCATGCTTTAAGTTTATACTTTAAGTTTAAATTATTTTTATGTTTTAGCCAATATGCCATCTACTAGTAAGGACTTTGAAAAAACTGCTTGTGACCAAAACAATCAACAACCGATAATACCAGGTAACTCAACTGTTTATTTATATATTTTTTTAAATATAAGCCAGCTCTTAACTACAATCCCACCTGATGGTAAGTGGTGATGTTGTAGCCTAAGATGGTGAAGCACACTGACTTAACAAAAGCTTATTCACTCTTGCCTTGAAGACACCCAGATTGTAATCAAATGGAAAAACAGATGCTGGCTACTTATTCCACTCCTTTGCTGGACGCATGAAGAATGATGTGTAGCACACTTTCCGACATGCATCCTGTAGAAAACCGTAAGGCTGGCTACTTTGCGCCTGTGTTCGAGGCTAGTTAGATTTGTTTTAACCAAATTCAAGTCACCAATAAGCTTCTTAGCATGCCTTTCGATTGAGTCAATTTTATTTATTTGTATATATTAATGTCATATTTTATAGATTGTTATTATTGAAATTTTAAGTAGTAAATTTTATGTTGTGCAGATTTGCCGCAATGTAGTAATGTGGTGACATCTAAAAAGTGCATCCGGAAGAATACTACAAGGAATAAAAAATTTTCACCATCATATTTGAGAATATTGAACGAGTTAAAAAAAGCTAAAAAACAGTTAAGTTTTGCTAAAAGAGCCAAAAGGGCTATGAAGTTTTCTAAAAAGGAAAACTTTGAAAAATTAACTTGTAACTTGAAACCCCTTGCGAAAAAAATTATATGGATGCAAATAATGCAAAGTGGAAAACATTCAAAAGGGTGGAGATTCTCTGATGAGGAAAAAATGATTGCACTTGCTATAATGAAACAAAGCCCAAAAAGCTACAGATTTTTACGAAGAATATTCATTCTTCCCTCCATAAGGACAATTAATAAATTAATTAATAAGTTGAAAATGGATTCGGGAATAAATCCTCATATATTCAAAGCGATTAAAACTGAGGTATACTGTTTCCTTAAACACTCATTTTTGTGTTAAATATATTATTATGTTAAGTTAATTACCTAATGTTTTTTATTCCTAGGTTGTAAATTGGCAAGAATCGAAAAAATATTGCTCGCTAATATTTGATGAAGTTTCGATAGAGCCAGGTCTTACATATGACAAATACAATGACAATATCTGTGGGCTTGTAGAGTTACTGTCAAAAACCTGTGACTATGCTGACCATGCCTTAGTGTTCCTCATTCGAGGTGCTGTACACAAATGGCAACAGCCTATTGCCTTTTATTTTTGTAAAGGAACTACACCTGCACTTATATTAAAAAATATAATAGAGCAAGTGACAGAAGAAATAATAAAAACTGGATTAATTCCTGTGGCTTTGATATCAGACCAGGGAACTTCATTCCAGTCAGCTATTAATAAGTTGAAGGAAGATACAAGAAAAAAACAAATATTGGCAAAGGAAAATACTGGTAAGATAATTGAATGAAAGGTTTAAAGCCACAAATTAAAGTTCTTAATAAAGTGCTAAAATTATCAGTAATGCATTTTTATACTTTTAATTGCCTATTAACCAAATTTTTGTTTTCATTTCAGACGACACAATCATAATAAGAGGTCAAAAGATTAATGTGATATTTGATCCTCCGCACCTCATTAAAGGACTAAGAAACAATTTTCTTGACAAAAATATATTATTGAATGGGAAAACATCAAAATGGAATGACATTGTAGATGTTTATTTAACAGACTGCAAACATGCAGAAATGCGTTTGCTGCATAAGTTAAATGATGAACATGTCATTCCTCAGAAAATAAAAAAAATGAAGGTAAGCCTACCAATATAAGAAAATAAATTATCATTAACAATTTTATACCTTTCAGTGTAAATTAAAATGTTGATCTATTACTATTTTATGTAAATACAGTTTTGGAATAAAGCCAAAATAATTAATATTAACATTTGGTCTTTCAGGTGAAAAACTGCAGTCGTGTGTTAAGCAAGACTGTTGCAGGAGCCTTGGCATACACATCACAATTTTGTAAGTTTGTTGATCTAAATATTATTATTTTATTCTAATTTATATTTGACCTAAAATAAGGGGGAATCTATCAAATTTTTCACCAAATTCCAACATCACCTGCATGAAGTGACCTGCTTACTAAATAAATAGTGCTTTAGCAACGCACTACTGTAGGTAATTCATTTACATTAGCAGAACCGAAAATATCACAACTTGATGATGGGAGAGTGTATTGCGGTTATTGGCTCATTCTAACATCCTATTATCATCGTCATTATAGCCTCATTATAAGTCCACTGCTGAACATAGGCCTTACACGAGGAATGCCGTCATACACAGACCTCCCCCATGTGCACCCATCATTTTCCTGTATGTCTTATCAGGTTAACACCTTAGTGGGGGGCCGTCTTACGATTTGCTTACTGGTATGCGGCTACTACTGGAGAACCTTTTGAATTCACTGATAAATGAAGTTCTAAATTTAGCAGAGGATATAGATGTAGAAAGTTGCTATTTGTTTATTTTACTTTTTTATACTTTTTTTGCATACAATATTATATTACATAAACACTGACAACAAACTATATACAAAATGTAGAATTAGCCGGCCTTAATACTAAACAGTGATCTGTTCCAGGAAGAACTATTGAGAAAGAGATTATTTTTATTAAAACATATAAAGGTGCATGAATACATATAAGCTGTATTATGTAGAATATAAAAATAAAGATAACAATTTTTGTAGTGACTTAGGATTTCTATGACTAACATCATATTTATTTTTATTTTACAGCCCACTATGCTGATGGCAAAGCTGTAAGCTCAACATTAAAAAATACTTCAGAAGTTGTGTCATTTTTCGATGATTTATTTGATTCGTGTAATGGGGCAGCTCTTACACGGAAAAACAAAGGGAAGCCCTTAAGGCAAGCTGTAACGAACTCATCGGAGCACGAAATTTTTTGGAAAAATTCCATAAAAAAATTAGAAGGAATGAGATTTATCAATAAAGAGGGCAAGGAGTGTATTGTGCCCTCTCAAAAAAATTATGTTGTGACATTAAAAAGTTTAACTAGATTGTGGCGCTTCTTTAAAGAAAAGGGTTTAAAAATTATGCGCCCAAGGTACTTCAATTCTGACCCAAATGAAAACTTTTTTGGACAAATGCGGGCATATAGTTTTAGAAGCAATGACCCAAATTGTCAAGCATTTAAAAATATATTTCGCTCCTTGTTAGTTACCAGATTCATTAATTTTCATTCAGAAAATTATAATTGTGAGGAGACTTCGGGAGAACAAATAATAAAATTAAAAAAATTATTAGAGGCACCACAAGTTTGTGAAACCCAGATGCCTCTGTCAAGTTCTAATGTAATAATCTCTCCCGAAGACATGAAAAATATTCAAGTAGAAGCTCGAAAAGAAAGACTCAGTGTACACTCTCGTGCATATACTGCGGGATGGGTTGTGAAAAAATGTTTAAAAATAATTAAATGTAACAATTGTAAAAACTGTTTAACCCAAAATAATGAGTCGTCAGTCCACCAATGGATTTCTCACAGGGAGTACAGAAACTTGAAAAAAAAACAAAAATTAACCTATCCCTCAGAATATGCAGTGAGGTATTTTTCAAACATTGTAAAAGAAACAAACGAATATTTGGAATTGAAACCAAATAGTTATGAAATTTCAAAAAAAATAGCACATAAAATTAAATCCAAATATTCGTTTGATTTCTTAACATGCCGGAGTCATAAACAAGCTCTTCTAGAATATTTTGTCTCCATTACAATTAAATTATGTATATGGAACTGGTGTAACATAGTGAATAAAATCTTAAAAGGGTTGGATATTGTCAGATTAAAATTACATAAGCAATTGCCGCATATGCAAGATAAAGCTTATAAAAAATTTCAAAAGAAATTAAAAAATAAAAACTTAAATAAGTAAAATAACAGTTGTTTTATTTTTGTATTATATTTTCAAATTTTTGAATGGTGAATAGCTGTGAGGCGAATGAAATAAGGCTTTATCTATAATGTACTTTCGTCTTATAACTAAAAAATTAAAAAGTAACGACAAAAGGCTTTATCAATGATGTACTTTTGCCTAATACCTAAAAAATTTGAAAGTAAACAAATGTCAAACTCTAAACTACCGTGTCCGTATTGGTTGTTCTAAGATTCCCGTCTGATACGTAGTATCCACTAAGTAGTCTGTGCTAGCATGCGACGACTGGCCGCCGCGATGCTATTGCTTTCTTTCGTGCTTTGCGATTTTGTGATGCGCGACTGACAGAGACAGAGAGTGCGATGTAAAAAAGCATTAAGCAAATAGCAAGAAGTGAGAGCCACGATAGCATTTGCTATTTATTATGTATGAAAAGCACGGTGCTTTATTTTGCTATATGATATATTAACCACCACTATATCTAGTCAATCCTCTATCTACGATTGTGAAGCAGTGTACTATGAAGGATAACTATACATTGTAACTTCAGGCTCAGAAGGGCTAGAACCTAGAGCCGTAAAGCCAGTTACAGTTATTAAAAATACATAAAGTAGGTTAGAATTGCTTGTATTTATTTGTTATTTTTCAATATTTCTATTATTTTAAAGACAATATACGTAATTTACTATTAGGCCTCACTTTTAGGTTCACTTATTATGGACGAATATTTTCATAATTTTAGGAAAAATACTTAACAATGGTCGCATAGTGAATTATTAATCTTATACAATGGGTACAAGAAACTTATCAAAAAAAGAACTTGAAGAGCTTCGTAAGAAAGAAGAAGAGGAAGCCGCAGCTCATGTAAGTAGAAACTTCAGTACATGAAAGCTGATTACTTACAATAAGAAGAGCCTTATCACTTTCCCTGTCCTGTGAATCTTAAATGAACATTTCGATTGTTTAAACATTGTGTCTAGTTTGCGGACAGGAAACCTATTAATATGAATATTGTATTAACATATAGAACTTTCTGGATTAAAATCTTAAATTTTGTACAAGTTGCTACAAGTCCGTCAAAATATTTCTTCTTAGAAAGACTTCGTAAACGTCAAAATAAGGTTATTCTTTCTCATTATTTCTTCTTCTTTGCTTTTCCTTGAACTATTGGCGGGTGACCTCATCAGCTTCATCTTTTAGTTTTTTGAACTATAAAAACAAAAGTGTTATATACATATTGTCATCGCCTGATTAAGAGTTCTGATAGCCCTAGGCTAACTATGAATATGTGCCTTTCGGCCCGTCCTGTCTGTGCCTGACCCGCCTATGAATAAAGAATAAGTTAATTCACAGTTTTGCCCACATTAAATCAAATTTTCCCATGAGATGAAGTTATTTTCCTGTGGTAAAAGGTCTTTTCTCAGAATACAGTCATTCTATCACTTTGCCTTATCGAAATCTGTTTAGCAGACGTGAAAGTATACAGATTGTCAGTGGTAGATGTGACAGAAAATGCAAAGGGATGCAATATCCCTTTGCATTTTCTGTCACATCTATCTATCTATATATCCCTGATATTGAAGAGATACTACAAAGGGGTTCTTTTTAGCGGTAAATGTAGAAACCTGTGTCTTCTGAGGGTTAAACTGGGTTAAACCTCCTATTCCTTACATGCTACTCCTCACCAGTCTAGATTATTTTTAGAAGAAATGGGTTATATAAAGAAGATGATGTAAAAAAACCATCACCCCATTTTATTCTATTGGAAATCTAAATCATCTAAGACATAATGGTACACTATCTCATATATGGCAAACAAAATATCATCAAGAATGAACAGCATCAAAAGTGCAAACATCTTGTTTACAAAAGTCAATTATGATAAATGTTTTATATAATTGACTATTTGTCACAGTGGTAGAGCCACGTGGCAGCTTTTGCTGTTGCACGGTTGGGCCGGCTCGAACTGGGGTGGTGCCACGACTTCACAGAAAACCAGCGTGAAGTAGAGGTTTACCTCTGTGTTTCGCTTGGTGAGTGCAGGTGGCCGGAGGCCCTTTTTACTGGAAATGAGGCATTCCATCTTGGTCCTCACGGGTGACAACGCATCTACATTTTGATTTGTGTTGAATGGAGGATAGATGTAGATGTCTATGGGCCACAGCAACCACTTACCATCAAGTGGACTGTGTGCTCGATTGTCACCCTTATCCTATAAAAAAAAATATTATGAGAAAGGTCTATGTTGGTCCAGGTTGATAAATCAGAAGATATATAATTTCAAACCTCGAATGTGAAGCAAGAGAGGTTTGCATAAGGAGAAGAATGTGTGTTAAAGAGATGGAAAGAGTATTTTGAAAGTTTGTTTGAAAGAGAGGAAGTGCAGGTACAGCATCTGCCACCTTCCACGGAAACGAATATAAATGTTGATGAAAATGAGATAAGCATGGATGAAATAGTGTAAGCGTTGAAAAGTATAAGATTAGGTAAGGCTGCAGGGTATGATAGGATTACCGTCGAGATGCTGAGGGCTGGACAGGGCCTGGTGGCTAGTCAGCTGTACCGCCTTTTCAATCTGTGCTGGCGAAATGGGTAAGTACTGGGAGACTGGTGCAAAGCCGTAATCGTGCCATTGTATAAGGGAAAAGGGTCACGGCAGGACTGCATAAATTACCGCGGTATAAGCCTTCTCAGCGTCGTCGGTAAATTGTATGCGAAAGTGTTGATTGAAAGGGTTGTGAATGAAACAGACGAAAAAGTATGGGACGCACAAGCGGGATTTAGAAAGGGAATGGGATGTACGGATCAGGTCTTTTCCTTGCGGTGCATAGCCGAAAAGTGTTTGGCTAAAAACAAGAAGGTCTACTGTGCTTTCGTGGATCTAGAAAAGGCCTATAATAGAGTGGTGAGGAATGAATTGTGGTCAGCACTGTCCGTGAACGGTGTGAGCAGTATCCTCATACGAGCATTGCAATCTCTTTATAGGGATTCTAGTGCTTGTGTAAGGATAAACGGGGCATAAACTGAATGGTTTAATATCGAAAAAGGTGTTAGACAGGGATGTGTAGCGTCACCATGGCTGTTTAATCTGTTCATGGACAATTGTTTGACAGATTTAAAAGAGAATGAAAGTGGGTTGAGAATTAATGAGTTACTCGTCAAATGTTTTCTCTATGCTAATGACCAAGTATTATTTGCGTCTTCGGCCAAGGAGTTGCAGGAGATGGTAACTGAGTGGAGCTTTTGTTAGAAAGGGAATGAAGATGAATGTAAGGTAGACGAAAGTGATGGTGTTTGAAAAAGATGAGGCATTGACAGACTGCAATATTGTGATTGAAGATGAACAAATTGAACAGGAGAAGGAGTTTGTGTATCTGGGTTCAAAGTTTACAAGAGATGGAAAGTGTGAGAGTGATATTGAAAGAAGAGTGAATGCAGGTATAAGGCGAGTGTGAATGAAAGTGTTGGAAGAGGTAGACCTAGGCAGACATTTCTAGACCAAATCAGGGACGTCTTGAAAAAAAAGCCAGGTCAAGAGTACCCTAAACCGTAGAGCATGTATGAAGGGAATAATGAAAGTGGACAAGAAGATAATGAAACAAGTATGTAAGGATCGTAGCAAGTGGAAAGAAGTGGTCTCTGCCTACCCCAACGGGTAAGAGGCGTGATTATATGTATGTATGTTTACTGAGGATTTAACAAGGTTACTCTAATATTTCCCATCATACATCATATTCAGTGTTTTTATATTTATTTTTTCTTTTTATTATTAATTGTCTAATTTATGTACACTTCACTATTCACCATTTGTTGTTCTTTGCTCAAAAATTTTGTCTGGAAGAAATTGCTTCCAGAGTGATTAGACCTTTCTTATAACTTCTTTCATTTGGTTTTAATTTTAATGTGTATTGGTGTACAATAAGGAATATATATTGATTAATTATAAATTTTCAGGTATTCAAAGAATTTGTGGAGACCTTTCAAGAAGTACCAAGTACCACTTCTAAGGTATGGGTGAAAGCAGGCACATATGATGCAGGCGCAAGAAGTAAGATAACAACTGACAATATTTATTATGATTTTAATAATTGTGTAATTCTTGATTAGACCAAAATAATTAAAATCTAGATAGGTCAATTTTCTTTAGTGTAACTTATAACATTTAATTATACATAGACAATTAAATTTACAGAGGAAGATACATCGGAACGTGGCAAATTGTATAAGCCAGTGTCACGGCTTGATGACAAACGTGGCAATGAGGTAGAGGTTTTGCGTAACTTGGCGCAAATTACACCAAGACTAGAACCTTCCTCAAGGCAAAGAGCAAAACTTAATAAAGATAAGAAAAAAAGTAATCTTGAACTTTTCAAGGAGGAATTAAGACAGTGAGTGTTTCCATTTAAAAATATTAAGACTCACGGAGCGATATTTATCCGCGCCCGCAGCGTTAGCGTGGTAGCGATACGCGTAGAATATAAGAAATTAAGGTAGATATAAGCTTTTTTGAAATTTTCACGACGCGATTTATGCCCGTGGTGCGTGCGGTTGTTTGCGGCTACCGTAGCTCCAGCAGGCAACCAGTAGAATTGCGCAGCCTGCTGTCGCCTACGTGTTATGTAGTCATAAAACGCAAGGGAGCGCCCACGCCATTGCGTGGCCTGGTATGGCTAGAGTTAATACGAGTAATCGATCCAATTTACTAATTTAGATATAGCATTATTTAGTTCATCATATTTTAATAATTGTCGTTTTAATTTTGCTTTTGATATTATTAAAAGTAGATAAAAATTTCAATAAGTACACTGGTATTTATTATATTTATAGGATATTTGCTTGCAATGCCAATGATACAAGAAAGAACTTATATCATTTTATTTTTTTATTTTTATAATATGCTGGTTGCGAGGATCATATTAATTATCATATTTATCGTTTGATGTGGTGGTTATTAAGTTTTTTTATGTTAACATGATAATTTGTTATTAATAAAATCACCAATAAATTTCTTATGCATTTATTTTTATTTTGTAAGTTAATTTTTTTTTCCAAAGTAGCAACATCTGTGAAGCCATAATACTAATTATAAACATAATGTTTTTGGAAATAAATTATGGATGGCGCCACCATTAATTGAATTTTTGTGGACCAAGCATCGATCACTAATAAAAAAAATTGATACATACACAATCAGTGACAAAACATGTCCTTACCGAATGAGCGCCCACTCGAACATTTTGTTGCGCTTTTTTTGGCAAAGCATTTAAGGTTGAATTTACATTAATGTATATTTATTTCAACTAGAATTACGTCAAAACAATTGGTGACAGTTTTTAGAGAACTTTTGCATGGGATTGTGTATCTAGTTTTTTATTAGTGATCGATGGGACCAAGGCAACTGGCGTACGCCTGGTTCACACCCTGCCATTAAGGCTACTATCGCTTACTACATTCTCTCGCAGGCTAAATCATATAGATGTATATTTTTGTCTCGTTTTTGTGTTGCTTTTTCGTTTCATCGAATTACAAATTACAACAATTCTGAATAAGTTTTCACTTCATAAATGTTATAAGTGATTATGATAATGTTGATTTTTAGTGCACACCCTTATTTTACTTACGTAATTCATATTCATATTTAACAAATAGAATTCAAGAGGAGAGATCCGAGCGACACAAGTATAAAAATGTTCTACGCGAGCGCGGCGTTGTGGGCGCTGAGCCTGCACTGGACACGATGCCCGATGTTGGTTCTTACGACACCGGCGATCCAAACACAACCAACCTGTATCTTGGCAATCTTAACCCAAAGGTGAGCTTGAGACATGTTATAAATTAATTTAGCTTTGGTTCCACGCAAAGTTGTAATAACTGCCTATGGACCACGCGAAGCTCAAGAGCACTGCCGTTTGAGAAATATACGTTTTTAGGTGAATTAGGGAGTTTAACAATAAGAGATATAATAATTATAATATCAAAATAATGTTTTTTTTTTTCAAATAAAGATCCATACACAATTGTTAGTAATTTACTTATATTATGTTAATAAAATGTAATAAAATAAGGATAAATTAAATTATATCAATCTTATGTGCAATCATAATGCAATAAAAAATTATGAGAGCAATCTGTTAAGAAACTTGAATGTCTGAACCACATGCATTTGGATCCAATGCCTCTGAATAGGACAGTCAAGCCTATTTTGAAATACCCTCAAGTCACCATTTGAGCTCTCCCGTAGTCTGCATAACATTGATGCAGTTTGCTTCCTTATGATGCCATAAAAAGCAACAACACCTTTAGGGAACATGATTGAAACAATTCAGTGTCTAGGAAGGTCCATTAGCATCCTGATGGCATTATTATACTGAATTTGAAGCGCATTGTAGGTCCTCGGTGTATGGTCACACCACAGGCTGTAGGTGTACAAAGTTGTATGAAAGACTTGAATTGTCTATGGGCCCTTGCTTATTTCGATTCGGGTGCCACAAGTAATGCACTTGTGCTTATCCAGTTGATTTTATAAACTCAATATGAAAAAAATATATGTTTCTTTCGATTGTAATATTTTTGATTTCGCTTAAAAGTGAAGTATAATTAAAACATATAACTTTTTTCTGAGATCTCAAAGAAATTTTTGACGATAACGATTTTAATACGGTTACCGTGTATTAGCGGTCTAATTCAGCAGTTGAGTTTTAAAGCCAGTAATGATAACGGTAATGGATTTTAATAAGTCTATTTTAGTTAGTGTTTGATATCTCGCACCGTTAACTCGGCTTCCCATCGTCGGTCTGGACATTTTTCACCTGATGTAAACAAAATGGTTATACCGAAATCTATCGGAAGCCGCAAGTTCTACAATTGTTTCTAATTGCCTGTTGCATTTATTTTGATATGACAATATTAAGTTTGTTGAAAAACTTTTATTTATTCTTAAAAATATATAAAAAGTGTATCCCTTGTTTATAATTGCCAAACTTTATCCTTTCCGTTATAAAAGTCTTGGATAAATGTCTGTATGAGCAGTGAATAAGAGATGCTCCCTGTTTTAATCGACTATCTAATGATTGAATACCATATCTATCCACCACGATGCTCCATACAGATAACAGAGCAGCAGTTGATGGAAATCTTCGGGCGTTATGGACCGTTGGCTAGTATCAAGATAATGTGGCCGCGCTCGGACGAGGAGAAGGCGAGAGGGCGCAACTGTGGCTTCGTCGCATTCATGTCGCGCAAGGATGGTGAGCGCGCGCTGCGCTGCATCAATGGTACGTTATTTTATTAAACGAAAGTTACAAACGAACTTCGAGTCCACCTGATGGTAAGTGGATACAGCAGTCCATGGAGATCTACAGACAATTTCAAATAAAGGAAGCTACATATTCGTTGTCACGTCTGAGGACTATGATTGAATGCAATAACAAAAAAAAGGGATATTCTGTAAATACTAGGAACAGACATAAGCTAGTAGTACTAGTTACTCGACTCCACCGAGTCATTAATTCATTTTTGGAACTTGAAGCGTATACGCTTTTACAACAAAATATAAATGTATAAAAAGGTTATTATACATATAATATTAAGGAATTTATGGATGATAATAACCCCTGAGAAAGAGGTGATCGCTTTCAAGCTATTTCTAATTTGTTGTGTTGTTAGTTGTGTAATCCGGTAGAAAGATTACACAACACGTTGCCGAAAGTTCCACATTTTGCCGCTATAATAAAGAAGGCGCATAGCGGATCTATCGATTTTAATTAATATAGCAAATAGCACGATCGACTGTCCCGTACTGTTGGAGCAAATACATCAACAAGTTCCATACGAATGTTCACGCAAGCCGTGCAAATTATACGTGCCGGGAATAAATACAAAGTACAGGCAAAATTCTTATTTAATAAGAGTGAGCAAGTGTTTCAATGACGTGGCGAAAATACACAATGTAGAATTATTTAAAACTTCCAGCAGGCAACTTAAGCGTCTACTAAGTAATAAGTTTTTCGTTTACTGATGTGTATTACATATACCGTGCATTGTTATTTATTTAATTTTTACTTGTGCAATTTTTCGCTCTAATTTATTTATAAGTGGGAACTTTTAATTGGCCTTCAGTACCTAGTTGTAAGTTCTAAAATCATAATAAATAAATAAGTAAACATACATGACTGTACGCTGTTATTTAAAAAAAGACCCCACTGGGTTTCTTGCTGGTTCTTTCTGGGACAGAGGCATTTTTTTCGAACCAGTGGTAATTAAACAAAAAAGTGACTTTCAATGAGCATTATTTATAATCTATATTGAATAAAAAAAGTTTCTTTTTCATAACGTCTCACAGCCTGTAATTGTACTGGTTCTCCATACACTGCAGATGGAATAGAGCGGTGCAAGCAATGCTATTTGTTGGTAGAAAAACCTACTCAGACGAACGTGTGGATAAAAGAAGAGTCCCACCTTAGACAGGTGTTATTAGCAGCCTATAATATGCTAGCTGTAGTGTACGCAAACCAGCGAGCATCTTTAAACATACGAAACGTCAAGTACATAATGCAAATACTTGAATTCTATTCTAATATATTTTATGGGAGAGCCCTACGGATGTACATATACATTTGCAGTTTGTTTATGAGCTGTTTAGGTTTGGAAGCAATTGTAAAGAGAGTTACAAACCCCACAGGCAAGGAGATAATGAACTACGAGATGAAGCTGGGCTGGGGCAAGGCAGTGGTGATCCCGCCGGTGCCCATCTACATTCCGCCGGCGCTGCAGCAGCCCAGCAAGCCGCCGCCGCCCTCCGGCCTGCCCTTCAACGCACAGCCTCCAAAGCACCTTGCCTCCAAGGTACGCCTTGCTAGCACACGCCCTCAAATAGGTACTTCCCCACCATAGTCTTAGCAAGTAATGCCTTGCCAAATGTGTCCTCTGAAACAAACTCCTTCGTGGAGGAACACCTCGCCAAGATACTTTCTTCGCTTAGGTCTTAGGTATGGCCCAGCCTAGTATGAAGGCTGAGATATTTATTTTCGTTATCTATTGGTACTTACTTACATCCACGTAGGTAATTTAGTACCTCCCCTCCTTCTCCACATCTAGGTACTCTTCTGACTTTCGTACTTAAGTATGCTCCTCGCCTAGTCGCACTCCCGTCAATAAACACTTCTATAATATTCCATTGCAAAGGTATTCTTCTGCGATTATTCACCAGCGGGTAGTCTTATTTAATATACAGGGTTATTTTGTAATAGACGGCCAAATAAAAAAAAGAAGTTTCAGAATAAGTAATATAAGCTCAAAAATTCTGTCCTTTCTATCTCTTATATTCAAAATGTGTGGTAATGCATTATTTTAACTGATTGTCATTCATAAATATCTAACGCCTACTATTTTACTACGCATGCACACATTTGTAAGGGTCGATCAGTCGGCAAAAACGTTTTGAATTGAATCGCGTAGTTGTCCATAAATCTTATTCAATTTGGGATAGTTTCAAATAAAATTAGAAGCCTTATTTATTTGTATTTTCACAAACTGCAATAACGGTATATCATTATCTATATATTTGAACTTAAGTATAAAATTTGGCTACTCTTTGAAAAATAACCATGTATAATAGCGCTTGGCAGGGTTAACAATCATATTTATTTATTTATTAGTTGTTACCCATCTCCTGATTTGTTTCTAGTTACGAGTAATTTCTTTCCTGGTACTGAATATTCTTACACCACCACTACACTGTCAATACGAACATTATGATTGAGTATCTCAAACCATCGCTAATCGACTTCCTCATACAAGTGACAACTGCAGTTTTTAGGGTTCCGTAGCCAAATGGCAAAGACGGAACCCTTGTGTATTCGTCATGTCTGTTTGTCTGTCTGTCAGTCCGTATGTCACAGCCACTTTTTTCCGAAACTATAAAAATTATGCTGTTGAAACTTGGTAAGTAGATGTATTCTGTGAACCGCATTAAGATTTTCACACAAAAATAGAAAAAAATAATAATAAATTTTGGGGGTTCCCCATACTTAGAACTGAAACTCTAAAAACTTTTTTTTCCCATCAAAGCCATACACGTGGGGTATCTATGGATAGGTCTTCAAAAATGATATTGATGTTTCTTATATCATTTTTTTCTAAACTGAATAGTTTACGCGAGAGACACTTCTAAAGTGGTAAAATTTGTGCCCCCCCCCCGTAACTTCTAAAATAAGAGAATGATGAAACTAAAAAAAAATATGATGCACATTACCATGTAAACGTCCACCGAAAATTGGTTTGAACGAGATCTAGTAAGTAGTTTTTTTGAACGTCATAAATCGTAAATTATGTTACTTGCTGCTACGAAACCCTTCATGGGTGAGACCGACTCGCACTGGGCCGCTTATTATTTCGAGTTGTTATCAGGAAGATGCTGCTACCCAATTCCTGTAACAGTTTCCCTCTGTTGCCTCCTACGACACCCTCGGGTTGAAATAGGGTAGTGGTTGTTCTTACACCGCCACTACACCGTTATCAGTATCTTAGCGGAACAAATCCTATTTACTCTTTGTTTGAAAAGACGCCGAGATTGTAATCGAACGAAAAGACAGACGCCGGCAGACAATTCCACTCCTTTGCTATGCGTTACGATAGACGAAGCAAATCATTTTGTGGAAAGTGGTGGGAGGAATTAAGGCATGCTATACCTGCGGACACTCCGAAATTCATGAAGTTTCTTCGCTCGCAGTTTTATCGCTTCGAAGTATTTGCTTGTATCGCTAACTCAACACTGACTGGGCTATACCGGCCTTATATAGGCCCTCAGATTATTTCCAGAATCTTCTACTGTAGAAACATCTAGAATGTTCGAGTACATATCGGTCCCGACTGATTAGGTGTCGATAGTTCTAGAAAGTTCTTCCATGGAAATTTCTAGAAGGATCTTGACTGTCCTAGTTCTACCACTCGGAAGAGTTATACTGTATTTTATTATTTTTAGGAATGATAATACATTCATTGAAGTTGAATGTTATATAACTTTTAACTAAATTTATCGGTACGACACGCGCACCACTTAAATTAATTTTACTAAGCCTATAACCATCGCGTAAGTGCAAGCAATAAGTTGACAAAGTTTTAGCACAATCTGATGAACGGTATGGCAGCGCATAAAATACGAACAAACAAATATAAATTTTTATATATCAGGAGCTATGTTAGCGATATTTTCACACCTGCTTAAGTTGGAACTAGCATAACCACTCAACCGTCCACGGTGACTACAGTCCCCAAAAACCATTATTGCCTCACCTGTCTAGGCACTAAACGACATCTTTCGGTTTAAACGCGTACAGCGCAAAAGATAGCTGTTATTAATACAGTAAAAAATTATAGATGGTGCTATATGAAATTTGGCGTCTGTGAAAGTGAATTTTATCTGTATAATAGTAACAAAATATTTAGATAAAAAAGTTAAAATTAAATTTCGCCATTTTTGTTTGTGGAATGTTAACGTGTGAGAAATTCGATCAAAAATGTGATAACTTTTCTGTTTTTATACGTTATTTCTAATGTTATTGTACATCAAACTAATTGTGAAGATATTTTCTTTAGTAAATATGTATCATTACGACAATTCCAAAACGTTTACATATAATAATTTATTGTATCGTTTATTGATTATATGTTGTTTAAAATGTATTCTAATCAGTTTTTTGTGTTAAATGAATGCAAAATATAAAATAATGATTCACTATTAAGACGTTGATAGCAATTTATAAACGAAATATCTGTTGAGATGTGTCCAGAAATTATAAAAACCTATTTTTTTCATTTATTTACTTAATTGTTCAAATTTATATTGGGTATACTTATGTATATTGAGTATATAAGATGTTATTGATATTGGTGTCATTTTAAAAGGTATATCATGTGCTATTATAATTTTTTCTTTTTTTATAGGATAAGGGTGACAAACGAGCACACAGTCCACCTGATGGTAAGTGGTTGCTGCGGCCCATAGACATCTACATCTATCCTCTATTACAAATCAAAATGTAGATGCGTTGTCACCCGTGAGGACTAAGATGGAATGCCTCCATTTCCAGTAAAGAGGGCCACCGGCCACCTGCACTCACCAAGCGAAACGCAGAGGTAAACCTCTACTTCACGCTGGTTTTCTGTGAGGTCGTGGTACCACCCCGGTTCGAGCCGGCCCATCCGTGTGACAGCAAAAGCTGCCGCGTGGCTCTACCACTGTGAAATATAAAATAATTGTCTCCAGTAAGTATGGCGGTGGAAGGGGAAGGGGAGATCTCCCGCCGGGCAAGCTGTTCTGCCCGGGGAGCGGCCAACGTTCCGATTGGTAGTTCGGAGCTCTTCTATATATTATGCTGCTTTAACTTCGAAACTTTGTTAGCGCGATTTAGACTTCGACGTGTTTCGCTTGTGGTGGGAAGACAGCGCCGCCACATAAGTATTACACTTTTCTTGTAAAACTCGAAATAAAAAATAAATATGATTCTTCAAAAAGAATCGTATTTATTTTATATAAAATATTCCCATTTTATATAAAATATTCCCATATTCCAATATCAAAATATTCCCATTTTAAGCTTTATTTTCAGGCTTTATTTTTGACTAATTTTCTTTTAACAAAATAAAATTTTGAATTCCTTGAGTCTTTTGAGAATAGTTTTTATTTGAATGTAGCTATAGTAGTTTTTCAGTAGTAATCGTTTTTGTTAAGACTGTCTCGCGCGGTCGTTAAAAATAGTGACATTTAATTCGCGGACAGGTCTGGCGAGAATCACTTGCGCGGGCCGGACGGTTGAGTGGATAAGAAAATGATAGGAAGTAACGAAGAAAGTTGGTATTTATTGGGTATAAATAATTAACTTCATCATTTCATTGGAAAATAAAATAATTTCAGATACCGAGGATACACCCTAGTGAACATTACCCAAGTGATCCAGAGGATCGAAAGACCTATGAACAGGTAGATAATTCGTAATGTCTTAATTGAAAATTAGGTTTTATAAAAAAGATATGTCTTGTAATTTATATTTTTCCTTTCAGATATTGTCACAGTCCATTATTAAAGTTGTCGTACCCACAGAAAGGTAGGTGTATTTATTTATTTAAGCCTTTTTAAATATTTTTTTCTTTCTAAAACTACTAGTCTTACATTTTTTTTACGCTAAACTCAATTGTTTATCGCGGCACTGTATTCGTCACTCGTTAAAATCGATCTCACTTTTGAGTGTATGCAAGGAATCACAAAGTTATTGTTACCGTCAAAAATCACATAATCTATTAAGAAAAAAGAGTGTTCTGCTGTATATTTAACTTTATAAGCGGTTCTGAGAACTCATGCGATGTGTAAAATATAATAAAAAAATAGCACTAGTCGTTTAGCATAATATTTAACTTTGTACATAGAGTTTCTCAGCAAACAATAAAATGACGTCCCTGTTGACGCTATACGTAGTACATATATAAAATCATCTACCCCATATCATCACGTGGGTGTCGTAAGAGGTGACAGATGGAAATGAAACATAAGATGGGCAGCGTAGAAAGGAGCAATCTACCTTATGGTAAGCGGATTGGCACACTTGATGCCTAAGAAAAACCGCCTCACACCTGCTTTCATCATTATAAGCCCAACATTGGCCTCTCTCGTGGTATGGAAAATTATGCCTTAAGATTTGAGAGACTGGTCCCACGTACGCAACGTATGCGATGTAATGCTCCTTCCTACGTTGGTAAACACACTTGACCTACGTATGCAACGTACGTTTGGCGCCAGACACTCGTTGTCACTTCTTAGCGGACGCACGAGTGCATATTTATACCATGTTTTCTGATTCTGAGAGTGAGTTTGGCAAAGATTTACTTGTTCTTATGTTCAAAAACGAATATATCCACGTCACAAAGAAAAAGAAAAAGTTAAGAAGCGAAGATATTGGGTTCATGAAATATAAAAACAAACAGAGGAGTTGATAATTTATAATGCAAACAAATACATGACTAATATGTAATATCCAATGTGTAATTTCCGCAATATATCAAATGTCATATCTAATTGTAACTGGGATAAATATACAAAAAAAAAAACTACTTTCCTCGCCCTGTCGCTTTCATGTTAATAACAAAAATGATAGCGGTAAGTGGACAGGTACTCACTAGGTTTAACATGTAGTTTTGCCATATCTTCCCATGCTCCTTACTAAATCGATGAGTTGTTTATCTCCCATTTTGACAACATAACGCGTGCACGGTGCAGAGGTCTATTTATGATGTGATACGCGTAAGTTCTAGGACTCACTAGTTGTACGCGTGAGAATGCGTACGAACATCCCCTCCACCTTACCCCGTCGATCTGGACACCGCAGGCCGATGTTTCGTCGGAAGCATGTGATTGTTTCTAGTGCATAATTTTTTGTATAAAATCAAGAGTCCAGATGTCACAATGCGTTGCATACGTTGCATACGTGGAACCAGTCTGTCTGTACCTTGATCGTCACGTTTTGCAGGCGGATTGACGATGGCAGTACCAGACGTCTCGCACCTTTGACACGGCTGCCCGTCGACGTTACAGTTATTTTATGTCTGGCATAGATAGGATGGTTATACCGCCATTTTTAGGATGTCATAAGATGTTTATGGCACTTCGCATAGTCCTCTCTTACGATTCTCAAGGGACGAAATGGAGTGGTTTCTCTCATGGCTACTGAAGTAGCTGAAATAAGTAAGCTGTAGTAAAAACCTAGACGAACACAAAGGCAGACAGCCAGAAAGGGGACTCTTTCTTCTTGAAACCTTTCTTTACAATATTTTTGGCATTTCAGAAACATTCTCATGTTGATCCACCGAATGGTCGAATTCGTAATTCGAGAGGGCCCGATGTTTGAAGCCATCATAATGAACAAGGAGATAAACAATCCATTCTTCCGTTTCTTGTTCGAAAACCAGTCGCCTGCTCACATCTACTACCGGTGGAAGCTGTTCTCCATGCTGCAGGGAGACTCACCTAAGCAATGGTCGCTTAATGATTTTAGGATGTTTGAAGGTTAGTTGATGACAATTTTCTTGTTTTATTTTGTGATCATTAATGTTACTAGCCTAGTCAAGGGTTCATATGTAGAACCTCTTAGAAAACATTCTTCTCTACCAAGGTACGCCCCCATCCAAATACGTCTTTAAAACGCCTGCCGTAATCATACATAATTTTGCTTATACTGTGAAGTGTGTACCATATTTATAAACATTAACACACGGGAAAATTATTTGTAAAAACATTAACACCAGGTACAACTATTTGTAGGCCGTAAAGACTTGTCGAAAAATTCAAACCCACGGCAATAGCGTCGTAACCAAACGCTAAGCCATTGATCTACCAAGCTGTCAATTCAATTTAATCAATCATTTTTCATTTAAGTCGTCGGGTCGGTCATGTCTCTGTTTTATTTACTCTCTAGCTCGCACTCGTGGGGCTTACGGACTACCATCATAGTTATGTGCGTTATAATATTTAAAAAAGAATACCTACGTGTTGTAATTTAGGACAATAAATTACGAAGTTTAGATTTTTTTTAAACTTTTGGAACTCTAGAGTCTATAATCATCTTTAAAATCCACCCACAATCCACTTAAAAGAATAATTTAGGAAGCTATTAAAATATAATAAAAAAACACGAAACGAAAAGATTGACTTCTTGTGATTAGTAACATTAAAACCAAAGTCAAGCTTGCAGGTCTTCCAGATAATATTAGGTGCCCCATTTATAGTGGTCCAAGTTTTTTTTGGGTCGAACATGCCAAAGATTCATCTGATTGCAAAATATCTTCCGCAAAAATCAATAGTTTAAAAGTTGTGATTTTTTTATTCTTTTCTCATTCTTCTTTAGTCATTGTAAACCTCTCTACATTGAAAGTTAGTGCACTTAATTGAATCAAATTTAGTGTCAGTTTTTTTTGCTTTTTTTGTCTATGCTACCCTCACACCTGAATGTAGTTTTTAAAATCATTAGCAAAGCTAAACGGCAGATTTTGTACCGCATACTGTTTTTGTTGTTCTGTTATAGTATTTGTACCACATATTAAGGTGTACACGCCCCTAGTTGCCCCGACAAAGGTCGACCATACAGGGGCCCATACAGCTGTAGATTCGACGGACAACGAAGGGTGGGGCTCAAAATGCCTGATGGACAATTATCCTACACAATAGATGTAAAGCTAGGTAATTAATAAGAACTTACCTGGTTCCGAATCGAGAACCGACCCCAAGGCGCGGTCAGGTGTTAAGTATGTGCATGTAAGTAGTGTGGACATGTGGAACCTGATTTAACCGTGGAAGTCGAACCGCCGATCCGCAGGCGCTGCGTTTATTCAAATGTGCGATCCTCCAGTGATAGTTCACTTTATCTGAACTCAAGTCTGACGTCACTTCACTATTTCAGTTCATCAACCTTATAGTACATATAATTAACTTCAAAGTCAACCAATTCAACGTTCATCGAAATCAAACACGTGACACACGGCACAACTAATGAACGGGCGATCAAAGTTCAACTTCCATTTTCACCCAGCGACAGATTATAATCGAGCACACGCGGTTCTAATAACTTCCCAAAAGGGAAGTAAGCGTAAAAACGCGCGACTTCACAGTTCAACGGAGCAGCACGACACAAGTAACGAACCGTCGTTCAAAGTTCAATATTCAATGTTCCGTTAAATACTTTAATCACTCAAAACTCAAATTAGGCTTCTTGTCACGTAACACTCAAATAGACACTCAATTCGAGGCGGTATTAAAGATACCCAAATCTTCGATAGTAATTAGGCGCGCACCATACTCAAATTCGGACGTTGATCGCAATCAATGTTAACTTCCAAAACAATTAACTGACCCGGCGTCCGCGCAGAAAATCTATTTTCCTAGACTCAACAAAACTCCTCGTCGTTGCATAAATTTTCTAACAAAACCGACACTATATAGAGGTTATACGGTACACGACCACGCCGTTCTAGTGACTGCGCTGCATTAACAGTTAACACTTCAGACGCGCCCTGCCCGCAACCAACCCGATCTCGCGCGAACGTCAACCGGTAGGAAATCACCGCGTTGAGCGCCCCCTGGCGTCAATTCTTGAAATTAGCGTTTGGCGCGAACATAAGGCAATAAGCAATAAGCAACTAAGCCATTTATTTTCTTGTTAGTGTACTATTTTTAGAACTTCGGATTAATCAATAATATTAATAAAAATAATTTAGTAAATAAACGTAATATAATCGTAAATCAAACGCAGTTATGTTTTTAGAAGTATAATAAAAATATAATTATTTTATATTATTATATTTGCCATATGTAAAATAACATAAATATCGAATTAATAATTAATTATTTAGGAATAGAAACAACACTACATATAATTAAACACATAAATTGTACATAAAATAATAATAATATACAAAAATTGCATAAATTGCATAAAATCATAATGGCTAACGATTTAATTATAGGAATGATTTTGGTCATCAATATTTTATTTATTTATATGGCAATTATTTATTGACAGATAAAGAAAATCTGTATTTCAGTTTTTTGCTGTTGTTTTGGATTTTGGTTTGTGACTACAATTACAAAAACAAAGTATTGTTTTATTTACTTACACTCAAAACCTCATCAGAACTTCATCGTTATCAAACTGTTGCAGTCCGCTGCTGGATATAGGTATGTCCTAATGCACCCTGCTGAATGGGTACGATCCTCATTTCAATCTAACCTACCTAATGGCAATTAAAACACTACAAAGATAGCAACAAGCAATTTAGAACATTTACTTTATCACCAAAACAATGTTTATGTGACTATAATATGTAACAATCTACTTTGGTACACTACTACATAACCTTAAAAAATATAACTGATTATAACTTTTACGTTAGTTTAAAAATCTAAGTGTTTAAAAAGGGCTTGTCTATCCTACTAACTACCAATTAAAACAAAAAATATCCTAAAACACGAAATTTTATTAACTGTACTAAATTCCCATACAAGCCTGCATTTTTTGCCATGGAAATATTTTGAAAATCGTTCTTTATCATTCAAAATTTAAAAATTATTCACCAAAAGGTCTAAAACCATCTTACCACATGGAAATTTTCTTAAAAATAGCACATGCGCACCAAATTGATTCGATTTAGTGCAAAAGTTAGTAAACACTACATGATTAAAGTAAATATTTTAGGAAAAAAATCATAACTTCTAAACCACAGATTTTTCGCGGAACATATGTTCCGTTTAGATGACACCTTGAGATGATCTCGATCCAAAAAAAAAATTAGAGCACTATAAATGGGTCATTCTCCATATGATACTCTTTTGCTAAATGAGGCTTATATTATTAATTAAAACCTTAGGAAAAGCTGGGCTTATTACAATATTAGGTTGCTATATACCTATTGCTAAGCTCTCGAAACGTCACATGTAAAATAAATATATTAAACGCCAAAAAATATGCCAAAATTATTTTCCTCAAAGAATCTGCTTAAATATTAGACTTCATTTTCAACTATTTAGGTGGCTCAGTATGGCGGCCACCGGTAATGAACCTGTACACAGCAGGCATGCCCGACGAGCTCGTAGAGGAGGACGATGCTAAAGAGAACATTAGGGGTACTCTTTCTAACAGGTAATGCTTTATTTTCAACGGCATATCTTTCAATCAAATCTTAATTTTTTAATAATCGTAATACTGCATTTTTTTATGACCCTTAATTCTAAATAAATAGACTTTAATACACTCGTTTAAAGCAATATGGTTCAACGTGCTGATGATACATATTGTATAGTTTAAATAAATGTAATTAAAGCAATGGTGTTTTTTAAGTATTTTGTTAAATCGGCTCCTTACACTTTACACCTTAAAGTAAACAGCAGCAAACATTTTTAAGTTTTCTATAACAAGTTTTTGATTTCCCTTTGCGTACATGCAGCCAGCGTGACCGTTTGGAGGAGATAATCCGCGCACTGACGCCGGCCCGCAGCAGCGTGGGCGAGGCGATGGCGTGGTGCCTGGAGCACGCGGAGGCGGCCGGCGAGGTGGCGCAGTGCCTCAGCGAGGCGCTCGCCGGCGAGAGCACCGCGCCCGCCCGCCGCGTGGCGCGCCTCTACCTGCTGTCCGACATCCTGCACAACGCGCAGGCCAAGCTCACCAACGCCAGCGCCTACCGCAACGCGTATGTAAACGAGAATCGAAGATATATATTAAGAGAGTGAGAGGGAGAGAAAGAGTACATACAAAATCGTTTTATATCTCTTATTGTTTTGTTTCTTGTGCGCGAATGAGCAATTTGTATTTACCATTATCATCATCAAATCGTCATTGCAGAGCATCCAAAATCTCCTACTGAACATAGATTTTCCTATACTGCTCTAAAGTACGGTCTAGAGTTACTTGTGGAAGTTATTAAATCGATAGTCCATTTTGTGGGATATCTAAGGACTAATATGGAATGCCCCAAAACTTGTAATTGTAATGGGTCTATATACACTTCAGTTTAGAACATACCAGTGCATCATCACAGTACATATAGGTATGAGGGTGGTTAGTACCTACCCAGACGGAATCCTGGACAGAAAAGGAGGCCAAGCTGCTTGTACTACTAGCGGCACCGACCGGCTGTTGTTGTGTCGCGTAACATAAGCGTGGGGTGCGGCAGGTTCCAGCAGCGGCTGGCGGACATCATGCGGCACGCGCACGCGGCCTGGGCGCGCATGAGCTCGCGCCTGCAGCAGGAGGGCTTCCGCGCGCGCGTCACGCGCATCCTGCAGGCCTGGGCCGACTGGGCCGTCTACCCCACCGACTTCCTGCTGCATATCAACGACATCTTCCTCGGACAGGACAAGGTACCTTACATACTTACTTAACGAACACTGGTCAGACTCACCAAACTGATCATCTTAATGATTGACTGATGAACCGATGTGACAAATATTTATTTTTGGTAATTTACGAATAGCTACTAATGACATTATAGGTTTAATACAGGCATTAAGGTCTCTTTATAGGGACTCTAGTGCTTGTGTCAGGATCAATGAGGTCTACTCGGACTGATTTGGTATCCATAGAGGTGTCAGAAAGGACTGTAAAGTTTCCCCGTGGCTCTTCAACCTATCTATGGTCAGTTGTTTAGAAACTTTGAAAGTTGAAGAATGTGGGTTGAGAATCGGTGAGTCAACCGTCAAATGCCTTTTGTACGCCGATGATCAAGTGATATTTGCATCGTCGGCAGTCGAGCTGCAATTGATCGTTACATTAATGAACTGGTCATTAAAAGAAAGGGGTATGAATGTGAACGCATGTTATACGAAAGTGATGGTTTTTGAAAGAGAATAAAGTAAAAGGTTATGTGAAATAAGAATATAAGAGGAGTTGATTGAAAAAGTGTATGAGTTTGTATATTTGGGATGTATATTTAGCAGGAATGGTAGATATGATAAGGATACAAAACGACGAGTGAACGCAATAAATAGAATGAATGGAGCTCTACACGCTATTATAAAAAGTCAGAACATAAACATAAACACTCACGCCTGTCACCCAGAGGGGTAGGCAGAGATTATGGACTTCCATTTGGCACGATCCTGACACACCTCTCTCGCTTCCTCCACATCCATATACCTACGCATACACGCTCGTCGGTTAAAGGTACTCTTGATTTAAAAATTTTTAATTTTTTTTTTTTTTTTAATATTTTTTTTTTTTTTAATATTAAAAAGTCAGAATGTGTCAAAAAATTCACGTATGGCAATTCCTTATGCTGTATTAGACCCTATACGCTAGGACTGAATATGAATGACAGGGTGAGAAATTGTATGATAAGAGAAAAGTGTGGTTTGTAAGATGACGTCGTGACCAGGATTAAGAAAGGAATGCTTCGGCGATTAAGTAATGTAGAAAGAATTAACGAGGAAAGAGTCACAAAGCAAATTTATGTTGCAGAAGTGAACGGCAGAGTCTGGAAGGGACGCCCGAGACGAAGGTTTTATCGACTAAATCTATAATATAAAAATGAATCGCTGAATGTGTTGCTAAGCGCAAATCTCGAGAGCAGCTGAACCGATTTAGCTAATTCATTTTTTATAATATTCCTTGAAGTACGAAAATGGTTCTTTAGGAAGAAAAATTTAAAAAAATGCCTAAAAAAGTCTAAAAACAACACTTTTCTATATAGGCTTACAAAGATTCGTAATAATACTTAAAAGTCAATTTGAACTTTAATACCATAACTTAAAGTTTAAGTGTTAGTGGAGGGGTTCCGGGAAGGCCAAATAATTGAGTGACGTTAGTATCGTATAACAAGCGTGTTCCACTCGGTGATAAAATATCTAGTTTATAAAATTCAGGTGTGTGTGTGGAATCCTTTTTTCAGTGTCCTTTATTTTGTTATTTTGTGAATTTCTTACTAATCGAGGCAAAATGAGATTTTCTGTTTATTATATCCCTTAAAATATCGCCATAACGCATGTTATCACCAAGGTGTTTTTTTGCTCAGACGGAAGCATAAACCATCAGTCGTAAGAGACCTTTTATAGCCTTACACCACTTAATCAATCTATTTTAGCGTAATTTAATTAAAATCCAATTAGTTTCCTACAGTACTATAGATTGAAGACTGCATATCTTAGTGTGTGGATTGTTAATTATTATGGCGTGAGTCACAGGTTCCAACCTTTGCCGGTGTTAATATTATATGCTAAATATATGAATTCTTGACGATTGCTTGGAATTCTGCCTAAGGGTAGAGCACGCAGACTTCAAAAGTGTTTGCTCATCTTCGTATCAGCACTGATTAGTGTTTTGTTGACTATATTAATTAAAACATTTTCGACGTGATAGAGTTAGTCTGCAGTTGGATTACTCATAGGTTGACTCAATCTAAGAATATTGTAAAATAACAGTATGAATTATGAATTAATGCTTCTATGTTTTGTATGCCTAAGGACAAAAATAGAGCCGTATTTTTCAGTTATCTAGGTTTCATCTTATTTCTGAGTGGTGGCAACCTGCATTTTGATTTGTAATATTATAAGATAGATGATGGTGCTATGAACTACAGCATCCGCTCAACATCAGGTGATGATGTGTTCTTTTGTTAACCTTATTATTTAGTGAGTACGGGTTGACGCTAGCTAGTGAGTGAACATCAATGTTTATTCGCGTACAGGAGGAGAGCGGGGTGGCTGTGGGTGGTGGTGAGGTTGCGGAGGCGGCGGAGGGGTCTTCCGGCGAGGCGGGTGAGGGCGCGGAGGTCGCGGAGGGTGCGCGCTCGCCGGAGTCCTCGGGCTCGTGGGAGGGCGCGCTGGACGGCGCCGCGCTTCGCCGCCTGGCCGCCGCACGACACACCAGCGACGACATCGACGGCGTGCCGGGTAACGTATTGCACGCACTACACTACACAGTATATACTACGCGCTACATGTTGCATACTATACACCGCACACTGAAAACTACACAGCACAACTACACGCTGATTCAAAATACTTAGTTTTAATATCGCAATAGCTAATAAGACAGTTTACTAACCATACCGTGTGAACTCCTACCGTTAACCATTACCATATTATCAATTATTTTAATTTATTATCCTTGTCCAATTACACCCGACATATTTGGTCCTTCGAGCCGGATCTGAACCAGCGACCTATGGATTTTGCGTATTTATGTTCATACTCATTTGTCATATAATTGCATATTACATGCTGAATGGCTCATTGCATACTGCATTTCACATTTAGTCAATCTGGCAAAAATGGTGGCTTTAGCACAGGGAATCCTAGTATCGTCACCAGTCTCTACAACTAGCATTTGTAAGGTATTTAATATTTAAATGTAATGATATTTTATAAATGTTATTTTGTAGAGAGAAATAAAGTTTATTATTATTATTATTAATCCATACAAAAGGTTCAATAAATACATAGTGCATAATATTCACTTTTGTTCAATTTAACTTGTGAGTATTGACTTGTGATGAAACCAAACAATAATGCACTTTATACTACATGCAGTGTGCGCCTAAGTACTTGTTTTGAAACCAACCCGTCGCTATTGGGTCAGTAGTGAAGTAATTCGTGTCAAGTTTTGTATGTATGTTTGATATCGTCAGTGGAGGAGGACATCGATGGCATACCGCTGGAAGCAGAGGCGGATGCGGAAGCGGCGGCGGATGCGGACGCGGAGGCGGAGGCGGGCGGCGCGGCGGGCGAGCGCGTGGCGGCCGGCTTCGTGCCGTCGCGCTGGGAGAGCGTGGACGTGGAGCCGCCCGCCGACGCCGACGCGGACCCGCAGCCGCCGCCGCCGCCCGCCGCCACGCTCACGCTCACGCCCACGCACAATGAAAGGTTCGTCGCTGCACTTTTATTCACTCGCTATCATTTCTGTTTGTCTGTACGGTACAAATTTTGCAATCGATTTTAAATAAACCTCCCGATGAGATAGAGATTTAAAACTTCAAATATAGTGTTACCGCAGACTTCTGTATACTTCTAGACGGGCACTACGCGTTACTAATACTTTGCGCACTACGTTATGCTCCATTCTCCATAAATTATTTAATACAATCGAACAGAAATATTCTTTGTTTTGTTAACCGTTAACGTTATTTTCATATCGCTGTCAATATTTATGTACGCACTTTATTGTAGTTTATTTGAGATAAATATATAACTTTATTTACATAAAATATATATTACTCAAAACAAAATAGGGCCAACCATCATTAATTTTTAACTAATTGACAGTATTGCTTTCGATATAGCAGCATGAGAGTTAATTTTAACATTTGATTTTAACGCGGAATTGTGCCGACAAAATAACCTCTTTGTTCAGTGCTCGAGAACTTTAGTTTATTTTTGTTTGAAATACTGAATGTAGGTATTGTTAATGAAATACTGAATGTAGGTATGTTACGTTACTACATTTTTAGACTTAGAACGATGGATGCATATTACTGTTGATGGTTCAGAACAGTTTGAAATTCATGTAGTCTCAAAGTTAATGATGAATCCATATATGCTTAGACCGATTCCACTATAGTTCTGTCTTGGCTAAGAACGAATCCTAATGTATGGAAAACTTTTGTTGCAAACAGAACAACCGAGATAATAAATGTAATAAGTAGTGATCGGTGGCACCACATCAAATCAGGAGATAACCCTGCTGATTGCGCTTCGCGAGGCATTAGACCGAGTGCTTTTAAAGATTTAGATTTGTGGTGGCACGGACCAAAGTTCCTACGTCAAAGAGAAAGTATTTCCACTCCACAAGTTGATATACCAGACACTAATCTTGAAATAAAACAAACAGTGCATACTAATGTTTACATAAATTCGGAACATACTGATACAAAAACTCAAGGTGTGGAAACTTCTATATTAACAGATATTCAAAATTACAAAAGCTTAGTCGTGTTACAGCTTATATGTTAAGATTTATTGAGAATTGTAAAACTAAAGTTCAATCAACAGAAAAGAAATCACAACCTACATAATTTATTCAGTATTTGATTGTTCAAGAAATAAGAAAATCTCTAAAGGTATTTATTCAAATTTCATAAACACTTTATTTATCAAAGGAAATGGAAATACTGAGTAAAGGAAGTAACTTACGTAAAACAAGTAAATTAGCATCTTTATCGCTATTTAGTGATAAAAATAATATTTTAAGAGTCTTAGAGCGAATGCGTAATGCTCAAATTTGTGATGATGCTAAAACTCCAATATTGTTACCATCTAAATGCCATTTAACAAATTTAATTATTAGAGATTCACATCTTCAAGCATTACACGGAGGTCCTCAGCTTACACTAAATATAGTCCGTAACAAGTATTGGATAATCGGCGCAAAGAATTTAACTAAGAAACTTATTCGACAATGTCTCACTTGCTTTAAATATTCCTTTAAACTGATTAGCCAATTAATGGCTCAACTACCTTCTTCGCGTGTTACTCCAGGTTTTACGGTGGTAGAGCCCCGCAGCAGTTTTTTTTGCTGTTGCACGTATGGGCAGGCTCGAGCCGGGTTGATACCACGACCTCACAGAATACCGGCGTGAAGTAGAGGCTCTGTTTCTGCGTTTCGTCTGGTGAGTGCAGGTGGCCGGAGGCCCAATTCCCCCCCCCCCCCCCCATCAACATGGTAGCGGAATTACAAAGTAGACTACCCCAGGAGGGTACCAGTACCCCTGGAGAATCCCTCGCTGAGCATCCACGACCATGTTATTCCAATCCTGAGCGTGGGTGCTCAGGCTGCCCCGCGTATTCTGGGGGGGGCAAAATTCCGCTCAAAAACAAAACTGCTTAAGGCAAACTGAGCAACAATACCAAGGCGACCCCTGCCACGCTATCCGTGAATTTCTGCAACATCAGGGGACTTCACTCTAACCTAAACGCCGTCCACTACCATCTCGAGACGGCGAAGCCGGCCTTGCTCTTTCTGACCGAGACGCAGGTTTCCTCTCCGGCTGATATTTCGTATCTCTCCTGCCCGGGGTACAAATTGGAGCACTCCTTTGTGCCTCGGGCTGGAGTTTGCGTGTATGTCAGAGAGGACATCTGTTCTCGACGCCTCGGCAGTCTTGAAGGTTCGGACCTGTCCATCCTTTGGCTACGCGTAGACAGCGACGACCATCCGCGCGTCTACGGGTGCCTCTATAGGTCCCATAGCGGTAATGCCGAAACAGACCGACTCATCGACCACGTCCAAATGGCTACAGATTCCTTGCTACAACAGGTCCCATCCGCAGAGATCGTGATCCTTGGCGATTTTAACGCCCACCATGCCGAATGGCTCGGTTCACGTTTAACCGATCATGCGGGGAGATCTGTTTATGACTTTGCTTTGGCATATGGTCTGACACAACTGGTTACTTCGCCTACGCGGATTCCAGATGTGGAGGATCATACACCTTCCCTGTTGGACCTTCTGCTGACCTCTCATCCGGACGGATATCAGGTTTCCGTCGATGCCCCTCTCGGCTCTTCGGACCATTGTCTGATCCGGAGTATGGTGCCACTCACGCTCCCTTCGCGGTTGCGTTCTGCAGGTTGCCGCCGTGTTTGGCATTACAGGTCGGCGGATTGGGACGGAATGCGGTCTTTCTTTGCATCCTACCCATGGGGGCGGGTTTGCTTCTCGCCGGATGATCCCAGCGCTGTTGCTGACTCTGTCACTGATGTGGTGCTACAGGGAATGGAACTATTTATTCCATCATCTGTGGTACCCATCGGAGGCAGATCTCAGCCTTGGTTTGGTCGCTCCTGTAAGACTGCATTGCGCAGAAAGCAGGAGTGTTATCAAGCCTGGGCTGCGGCTTCGGTGACTCGGGATGTAAACACCAGCACACTTAAAAAGAAGTATAACTTCGCCTCCAGGTCCTTCAAAAGAGTTATTGCCAGGGCAAAGTCAGAGCACATAGGCAGAATTGGCGAGAAACTAGTTCGCCTTCCTTCGGGAACCCGTGCATTCTGGTCTCTCGCCAAGGCTGTCCAAGGGAATTTCTGTAAGCCATCACTACCATCTCTGCACAGGGAGGACGACTCACTGGCCCACGACGCAAAAGAGAAGGCCGACCTTTTAGGCTCCCTTTTTGCGTCCAACTCGACTGTTGATGACGGGGGGAACACACCGCCGACCATCCCGCGGTGTGAGTGCTCTATGCCGGATGTGCTATTCTCACAGCGCTCGGTTCGCAGAGCACTCCTCTCCCTTGACATCCACAAGTCGAGTGGGCCTGACGGAATCCCCCCAATTGTGCTGAGGACGTGTGCTCCGGAGTTGGCACCGGTTCTAACGCGTCTTTTCCGGTACTCCTACTCCCATGGCGTTGTCCCGAACTCATGGAAGACAGCTTTTGTCCACCCGATCCCTAAAAAAGGCGACCGCTCAGACCCGTCCAACTATAGGCCTATCGCGATCACCTCCTTGTTCTCCAAAATAATGGAATCCATTATTAACTGCCAGCTCATACGGTACCTTGAGGATCACCAGCTGATCAGTGACCGCCAATACGGTTTTCGTCGGGGTCGATCAGCTGGTGATCTTCTAGTCTACCTGACCCATAGATGGGCGGAGGCAGTAGAGTCCAAGGGGGAGGCGTTGGCCGTTAGTCTGGACATTGCGAAGGCCTTCGATCGGGTTTGGCACAAAGCGCTTCTTTCGAAGCTCCCTTCCTATGGGCTTCCCGAGAAATTGTGCAATTGGATCACCAGCTTCCTTGCAGATCGGAGCATCAAGGTCGTTGTAGACGGTGCATGTTCTGACTACAAGCCTATTAACGCTGGTGTTCCACAAGGCTGTGTGCTATCACCAACGCTGTTTCTTCTGCATATCAATGATATGTTGCTAACTGGTAACATTCATTGCTATGCGGATGACAGCACTGGTGATGCTCTATACACCGGCCGGGCCAATATTTCTCGGGAAAACGTCGCCGAGTACCGGAACAAACTTGTGTCTGAAGTCGAGTCTTTGCTGGACAAAGTCTCGGATTGGGGGCGACTAAATCTAGTCCAGTTTAATCCTCAGAAGACACAAGTTTGCGTGTTTACCGCTAAAAAGAACCCCTTTGTCGTATCTCCTCAGTTTCAAGGCACTCCCCTTCTTGCCTCAGCCAGTATCGGTATCCTCGGAGTCGACATATCGAGTGACGTGCAGTTTCGTGGTCACTTGGAAGAGAAGGCCAAATTGGCCTCTAAAAAGCTTGGCGTGCTCAGCAGAGCGGGACAGTATTTCATGCCGGCACACCGCCTGCAACTTTACAAGGCGCAGGTTCGGCCTCACATGGAATACTGTTCCCATCTCTGGGCAGGGGCTCCCCAGTGCCAGCTCCTTCCACTTGACCGCATCCAGCGCAGAGCGGCTCGAATCGTCGACGACCGAGCCCTTTCCGATCGGCTCGATTCATTGGCACTGCGAAGAGATGTTGCATCTCTTTGCATTTTCTTTCGCATCTACCATGGGGAGTGCTCTGAGGAATTGTTCGGATTAATCCCAGCCGCCAAATTTCATGAACGCACATCGCGGCAGAACTCCCGATACCATCCACACCATCTGGATGATTGGCGGTCCACCACTGTGCGATTTAGAAGATGTTTTCTTCCTCGCACGACTTCTTTGTGGAATCGATTACCATCAGCGATTTTTCCGGACCGATACGACTTAGGGACCTTCAAGAAAAGAGCCTACTCCTTTTTAAAAGGCCGGCAACGCATCTGCAATTCCCCTGGTGTTGCGGTTGTTCGTGGGCGGCGGTAGTCACTTACCATCAGGTGAGCCGCATGCTCGTTTGCCCCCTCTCCTATAAAAAAAAAAAAAAAAAAAAAAAAAAAGGTAAACCTTTCCG